AGCTGTCTCAATGATAAGAAAAATTAGAGAGGAGAATCAGCAAAAGGAAGAATGCACTGGCAGATCTGAAGAGGAGGAGGAAGATTCTGATGCTGCTGTTGACGAGAATTTGTTAAACTATACTGATGAGGAGGGTAAAGATGGAGATGGGAATGAGGATGTGCCTCCTGTAGTCAACATGAGAAAGGTGGTGACTCCGAAACTAAAGTGGCAAGCAAAAACTATCATTCCATGATTAACTGGAGGAATGAACTCAAGACTGAGCCTCCTTACATTGCTTCTCTGTCAAATCTACAGGTTAATGACATTCTTGAGACACCATTAGTGGTGCCCAAGTGGCCAAACAGCACTCAGGCGGTCGAGAGAGGCATAAAAGTGATGACTGAAGCTTGCACTGAAGTGACGGGATACGAATCGAGAGATGGATATATTAGGCAAAGATTATTGTCTAGGAAAATGATGCCAAGGTTCCGCACAAAAAAGAATTTCAATATGAACTTGTAATGATTTTCTATACGGTGTACCTGTAAAATAACATGTGAATTAAATCGATGTCACCCATGTAAAATTTATCATTATCCTGGAAAACATTAAATGACACCTAATTTTTGGTATACACTAAAAGTTGACAAAAAGTCGTTCGCGATGCGGCAGGGTAAGTATGCATGAAATGGCATGAAATTTTGCACAGGTGTTTGTTACAGCCATACAAACGATGCCTGAAAAGTGCAGCCTGCAACTCAAATAAAAGTGTTTTTTCCCTGCCCCCTAGTGTACATATGCTTTACTATGTAAAATAAAATATACAGGTAGTCCCCGATTTACGACTGCTTGGACTTACGACCGTCGGGACTTACGACCGCTGCAGTTGTGACCATTTTTTTTTTTCAAATGACACACGCATTTTCTATACCGAAACGTTTCCAGTTAATGTAGTCTCCATGTATAATTAGAAAATTATGGAGGCCCCATGTGCATTCAGCTGACTACATTAAAGGTAAGTGCTCAGTCACACTGTATCCATTCCTCATTATTTATTACTTTTACTGTACTGTATTTCATTGTAGATATTTTATTAAAAAAAAAAAAAAAATCATTTTTTTTATCTATGTCGGACTTACGACCATTCGGACTTACGACCTGGATTTGGGTCCCTAACCCCGTCGTAAGTCGGGGTCTAGCTGTATTAACAAATTCAGAAAGTGAACAGGGTAAATTGAAGGGAACACTTTTTTAAACTAATTTTTGAAATATCAGAGTACAGTATTCTCAGTATGGGAAAATGTGACTATTGTGGCAGTTTTGAGAGAATACAGTCTCTCCTCAACATACGACGGGGTTCCGTCCAGACGTCCGGGTCGTAAGTCGAATTGGTCATAAGTCGAAAAGGCGAAAATAATACATAGAAATTCTAAAATGGGTGTCTCTTTTTCTTCTCAGCACCACGAGAACTCTCACTTTTATGCTTGCCAGCCATTTTAAAGTGAATTACAAACAAAAATTTTGTCAGTACACAGCGCGATCACTAACATCGGGAATCGAAAATACTTAATGTGAAAAATATTTTATACAACCATGGCCGTCGTATGTCCGGGTTGTCATAAGTCAAGGAGAGACTGTATATGGCTTTTAGTTCTGAACGTTTGTGCCAAAATTATGAAATGCAACGATAAGTGGAGGAAGGGTTATGAATCTTTCATCTTGAAAAATCGAAGTATTCTAAGACTTACAGAAACAACTGACAGTCGGCCACGCCTCCCCCACCCTCCAGTGCATTTCACGTACGCTTTATTTTTATAAATTCATGTGAAATTACAATATGCACAGCCCATAAATTCTTACAACAGTATAAACTCTCTCAAGAAATGAACTAAACAGCCAGAAAATAAAATATTACGAAACTAATTATTTTCAAACAATAATCAACTCAAGAATGAAATCGAGTAAACGGTATGGATAAAATGTTTTTCGGCTGCCTTATATTTTCTAAAATCAATTATACCCGTATTATTTATCTTAGTGAGTTTTTGTTGATACCAAAGGGAAGCTGAGATTCTCACGCATTTTATTATCGATATAATTTACTTTAACCCTTTAGGTGCGTAATTAAATTTCGCGCCAGTTCCTGAAAAGTGTCAATTATCCTGCCAAAAATGAATTTCATATAATCACATTTTCTATATGTTTTTCCTAGAGAACTTTTAGTATATTTTCCAAATCTGGAACAAAAATTCACATATGTGTGCAAATTTTAGAGAAAAAATGACATTTATACCCAAAAATGCAGGAAATTGGTATACATCAATGTCTGGTATATGGCAAATATATTTAATCAATTTGGTTACTAAACAGCAAATTTAGATATGTATTACATATTCAGATAATATCAAACAAAATAGTACAAAAATAAGCTATATTGCATTCAGGAAATACTCCTATACCTCAATACATAATATGTCCGCATGTCGTCTCATTTGGGGAAGTTTTTTCAAGGCCGTGGGATATCCCCGCTTGTCGCATTTAATTAATATAATATTTTGGGCGGGTTTACCCGCATGTCGCATCCAAAGGGTTAAGAAAATTGTTTTATATAATTAAAACGTAAGTTGATTGCAAATGCAATGATAAATTTCAAATTATACTCGCCAAGACGTGCATTTGTTTTTCGTTTTTCATATTTTTTATTTGCTCTTCAGATTCCTTACATGATTTTGCATATAGGGATATTATTGAAATACCACACATGTACAGTATATGGGAAGTAGAAAAAAATTGACAAGAGCTATAAGTATTTCCATGCTAATCTGCCCCATAAGCAACGCCCTTTTTCTATACTAATTGCCGATTGGTTCATAGAAAATTAAAAATAAGTGTGTTCACAATTGGAAAGCAGACCTGTTATTATCTAAAATAATGTTAAATAATTATCTGAACTATCAAAATGCAAATAATTTCAAAGCATTAGCACTTCTGAGAGAATTTAGAAGTTTTTAAATATTTATCATAAATGGTAGATATATATAAGCACTAGTACATGCACAGTCCGGGGGAGGTAAGACGCTCAGGGGAACCAAACAGTTACAGCTCCTCCCCAACGACCTACTCAACTTACGACCACCCGGACATACGACCGCCTCAGTCGTACCAAAATTTTGTCAAATTACGTATTTTCGAGTCCCAACGTCAGTGATTGCGCTGTGTACTGACAAAATTTTCGTTTGTAATTCCCTTTAAAATGGCTGGCAAGCTTAAAAGTGAGAGTTTTGTGGTGCTGTGAAGAAAAAGAGTCACCCATTTTAGATTTTCTATGTATTATTTAAGCATTTTCGACTTACGACCTGGATTTGGGTCCCTAACCCCGTCGTAAGTCGGGGAGGAGCTGTATTTGTAGCTACAGACGAGGGGCGTGGCTTATGGGCCAGGTTAGCGTGGAAAGGATATAGGACTCCAGAGCCGTGAATGTTAATCACAAGTCTGGCAGCGTGTGCCAGCAGCACCATCTTCTCTCACAATTGTTCGTCCAAGTTTTATATTGTTTCATGTTCATTTTTTCCATAGATCCAATAAAAAAGAATTCATTGAATGGAAAGGACAATGGTAATTAAATAATTAGGATATTTTTCATATTTTCATAAGTTTTGTAAGAGAATTAAGGAAGTCTGTATGTATTTAGCTGAATATGTACCAAGGAATAGGCTGAGAGAGGGGCTAAAAGAGCCCCGTCCAGCACCAGGTAGAGTTAAACCAACCCAAAAGATTTTAAAGTTCTGTTGATTTTGTTTCAAGAATCCTTTACTAAGACCCAACCTACCACCTACCACAAGACCCATAACTCTTCTTGTTACACTTGATACTACTCTCACCTCTGTCTTCCCTCAGCAGAAATGGAGGAGGGAAACAGCTTAAATTTCTCATTAAACCTGGGTGTATCACCAGCACCACCTCTAATCACCATATGCAAGAACCAGTGCTACCTATCATCACAAAAACAATACTGACCAGCTCAATCTCCCAAATGGGCTGGTCATAAAAATTCATTAGTTAGACTGTTAGGAAATTTTAAGATAATGTCCACTAAATATGAAGAAAATAAAGAAATATAAAATTGAATCTGGTCCACAACAGATCCGTCTAGTTGTCTACAATGAAAAATACAAAATATAATGTCAACATATTATCATGCCAGCAAAATATGCAGTTTGAACCACTGGCCACCTACCCTGGTTGCAACTGGCTGCTTGTCTGAAAATATATATTATTTTCCTTAACTCTATTTATAAGCAAACCCATGATACAGTACAAGAAACAATTGTAAGTACATATTCTTTACTATTATGTGAGTAAGTGACAGTAAAGCCATAAAGTTCATGCTGCAAGGGTGTGTTAACCAGCATTTCATAGTGATTCAATGTGAGGACTTAAAATAGGGGGATGAAACCCTGGTTCCTTACTAAGAGGTACATTAGCTGGGTAATGGGTCTTAATACAAGCCTCATTGAGAAATCTAGTTGATGTAGTGAGATGGAGATCAGGCTTTCAGGAATTAGGAAAATGTACTCATGAGAATCACCTAAAATTACTCGCATAGAAACAATTCAATTTCAATTAGCTGTCTATCAAATGATCTGAAGGATTCCAACATGTCCCCCACAGAGACTAAAAAGAAGCTCAGTGATATCAGCAAGGGGAAGAGATTTGGTTTGGTAAAGTTATTTCATTCTGTCTGTTGTAATAAATGGTTTACATCTGCCTTTGATTACAGGACTACAGCTTACCAGCTATTCACCAGTAAATTTTATTGATCTGTAATATACCTCAGGAACTTCAGCACAGAAAAGCTTTGTGATTTCATGATGGAGGCATGGGAAGTGGACGTGTTCAGAAAACCAGATAATTTGCATATCTGGCACACTGTAGATTTCATTAGTACTGTATTGAAATTTTGTCATAACACTGTATTAAATAATTTTACAAACTATAATTACATAATATAACCTGACCTTCACATTCCTTTGATGACATAGATCCTGAGAGCATTGTAAGGATCCTTGTGCGGTGCTTTGATGCATTTCCGAAGAGCATCAACTTGTCACAGCGTAAAAGTCTTAGAAGAAGTAATAACTGCATCTTGTTGTTGCCAGCAGCAAATAATGGCTTGGTGACCTCCCCCAACTTCATGGTCTTCACTTTGAGTTTCATAGTTCTTCCAGCCACCCCTGCTGGAACTAGCACTGGTCCTGACTGTGGGTATCAATAATTATAATGAGTGTTATTCCTTTTTCTGAAAATTTGAGCATTCACAACCAATTAAGGTCAATGCTACCACCCCTCACACTACGTATCTGGATGTACGCTTTAACCCAAGTGTGGACAGAGATAAAGAAACCATTCTGACTATTGCTCTCTCTCCATTTTTAAGAATATACAGGCACAGTAACAAATAATAACATTCAAATATGATCTCTGCATAACCACTGTAAAATAGAAAAAGAAATACTAAATCTGCATGTTTCTTCCCATGGAAACACTTGCAAAACCAACTTTATGTACACTCATCAAGGCTACTCAATATATAAAGGAATAAAGACCAAAACATATTTGAACTGACATATCCAAACCATGACTGGTAATCAGGCCTGAGAACAGCAAATATAGAATCAGAAAGTGAGATGTTTTAGACCCCTGATAAGGGTGAAAGGGAAAAGTCCCTCTGATGCTGAAGGGGCACACAATAGTGAGCTGCTACTCGACTCTATCCTGCACTTTCAATTGGCGAACTAAGGTATTTTGGGTTTAATGAGCAGTGCTTTATGGTATGAAAATTCATCAAACCAGATTGTACAGTATTCCATTAAATGAGCATAGTTCCGAGTGAACCAGATTGCATTATCATTCATGGAGTTGGAATAGTCCTCCTTTGTCATTGGCTGAGTGGCCAGACAGGCTAGTGCACTTTGACCCATTTTCTATATTCTAATGTGAAATCAGAGGTAGGCTGACCTTGCCTGGAGCAAGTGAGCCTAGGCAATTTGTTGGAATCTGTTTATCAACATGTTCTCGGCCTCACAGAATGTGCTCTGCCTTTGTTTGTTCATTTCTTGCTATTTACATAATCAACTCTAACAATGGTAAGTCCAAAGAAGACACCTAGGAGATGTAACTAGATGCAGTATAATCACTGGATAGTGAAAAACTGTGTGTGATAGTGTTGTCAACAGTGTGCACAATCAGCAACTAGTTGTCCTCAGATGGAAAGGCAGGGGAAGATGCCACTGTCCCCTCCAAGCAATAACCATCTACACCTTCAACCAACAATGCTAGGCCCACACAAGCAACATTATTATTTAGAAACGGCAAGCACTATATACTACAATAGTGTTTCATCTTGTTCTATGGGCTGGAGTGTATCTAAGTTTATACCATTGGGTTTTGAGTCAAAAAAATTTCCGGCAAGAAAGGATATCAGCTTTTAATATGGGATCCGATAAGAATACAGGTCCTGTTAAACAAGAATTCACTTAACAAACACTTATTGAAAAACATTTAACTTGTTAAACAGGGCCTTCCATAACATAATATTAGTTAAATTAAGGGTTATATAGGCTTTTGTCTGTTGTTTTGGGAAACTAACCATCATCTATAACATTTTACATGAAAATTGAGTTCCAAGCTGCAAACATACAACTTACAAACACTTAAAATAAAATATTTGGAACACAATCCATTCATAGCCTGAGGGCTTCTTGTACACATACTGAGACATACAGTCATAAGAGCAGCAAGGTATAAATTTGCAGGACAATGGACTCTTGTAGATTGACCTATGACCTCAAAAGAGAGAAAATGGCATCTGCATTCTTCTGCGCTGTACCAATACTAAACTCTGAGGGAACTAATTTCTCTAGCACCAACCAATAAATAGTCAAGTACAGTACTTTGACCATATTTTACAGAGCTTGCCTCGCTAAAGTCATCTGAAAAGTAGACCTGCAGGGGGCAAACAACCAAATAGCAAGGCTCTACTGTATTTCTAGACATTATTACAGTAGCCATAGTTTTCCTTTGGGTATTCTTTAAAATTATAGCTCATAACTTAACAGTGATTAGCATGAGTTACAGGTAAAGTGGCACAATAAAATGCACATACAGTGAACCCTCAAAGATCCAGACTAAAAGGGAGGACCACCTGTCTGGAAAAGCCAATTGTTCGAATTTTCCGGCAATTAATAAATGATATAAGAAACACCAAAAATACACTTCTTATGTAGTGATAAACAAATTGCCATATATAAGCCAAGCATTTACCTATGATAACATAATAAGAAACATTGTATAATTACTAGAGTGAATGAAATAATATTCCCACAAACAACAATTGTCAACTCTGTTTATGTTTCACACCTCCTCGGGCACCTGTGTCTCAACTGTTTCTCTTACCATTGACAACACAACATGCATATATTGTTTCTCACTCTTTATATTTTGTTTTTGTATTTCTTTATGGTTCATTATTATTATTATTGCAGTGTTGTTATTATTATTATTGTTATCATGACTTATTATCTGTATTTTTATATTTTATTTTAAATTTTATTTATCTGAACTATTATCATTATTATTATTATTACATTTTCGCCCCCCAGGCCCCGATGTGGGTCAGTGACCTGTGCCAGGGTGAGCTAATCCCCATAAAAAAAAAAAAACCTAACGGGTCAAGCAGCGCCCACGGGCCTAAAATGTTCTTTGCTCTAGTTTGGGAATGTTTCTTAGGGAAACTTCTAGGAGGCTTCTTAGCCCAGAACCCCCAAATTTGTTGTCCGGATCTTTGAGGGTTTACTGTATATTGAACAGGACAATCATAAGCTTTTGTAACAGTGAATGATAAAATTGGCCCCTCACCTTATTAGGTGATTATTATTCCCTCTTAAACATCATGTTTGGTAGAAGTCCTTTTTTCCCCCCAGGGAATACCCCACCCAGGCACAGGTCATCAACCCACAATGGGGTCTGGGGATCAGAGTAAAAAGAAATAAAAATAAAAATAGAATGTCTGTAAAAAGCGATTCAATTTAAGATTATTGATTTAAAGCGACACCCACAATTAAGGACAATGTTTTCTTTCTTTTATCTTCTTCACCATTGATCGGCTCGTTAGCCGCTTGGGCGATCGGTCACGTCTCTGTTACTTTTCCTTTACTTTTATCCTCTTCACCAAATGATCGGCTCGTTAGCCACTTGGGCGATCGGTCACGTCTCTGTTACGCACTGTTGGCAAGTACTGGGCATGCACCGGCTCCTGAATGTACCTGAACCTGCTCCAGTGTTGGTCAAGTCTGGTCTTGAAAGAGCTCACACTCTGTGCCGTCACAACACTTTCTGGTAGATTGTTCCAAGAGTTCACAACTCTCACTCCGAAGTGCAGGCACCAGTCTGGTAGCCCTTTGAACATTCCAACCAACTGACAGTTAATTTAAAGCGAATCATTCCTATTTTGCACGACTCAATCTGGCGCATCGTATTTTAAAATTCGAGCCTCATGTTTCTCTGGGTCGCTACACTGTCCTAAGGGCAGAGCTGTACTGTACATGTACTCAAAATAATGTACTAAATGATTACTAAAATTTTGGTCTAGTGCAAACTATAGCATGTGTTATCGCTGCTGGCTTCAGCTACAGAGCTGGCGTGTGATGCCATTAAATCTTTCGACGTGACCTATCCAGAGGTAAAAGTGTTTATAGACAAGTCCTGGTTCTGCTGAGTGGACTGTCTTCAACTGGTGGCGGTGCTGCCTGCCCCGCCATGAGACAGATCGCCTTCTCTAGTGATGCTGTGAAGACCAGCCTTCTGCTTGCACTGGTGAACACCGACCCACAATCCTGTCAGAGAATTTGTGCGGAGACAATTTATGCAGTACTTTTGTCTCTTGGACCACCATACTGATCTGCATTGACCCGCACTTGTAAGTACAGCCTAAGTGATGACATACCCTTCGGTACTGAAATATTGTTGATTAATAACGCCTACTCATTTCTGCCGAACCTGGAGTAATAAGATAATGAAGAATGAAGTGAAACTAAGATTAATAGAGTTATGAACTTTGTGTTATGTCACTATGTTTAATAAATTGTAATTAAGATAAAATTATGTGAGACTAACTAAAAATGTATCAGATGAATCACCATGTAATTATGAACATCTCCTCTGCAGGTTTCGACCACATCAATAAATATTGAATGCGTCAAGAGGCGGGTTTCAATCATTCTCTACGACTTGCCTGTCACCTGAACGTCCTTAACCAGGCATTTACAGTCAAAACAATACGGGAGGGCATCTAAGGGAATTCTTGACTGCATATTTACATTCAAATTAATTATCATCTTATAAGAATTCTCCAGCAATGTAAATTATATTCTCCCCGGTCACTTCTGTGACATTTTATAAAAAAAAAAAAACTAAAACTCAATCTAAAGGACATAAATAAACAAATAAATACTTCACTAGACCTTTGGCCCCAACTGTCAAACATGTCACTGTCACCTCCACCCCATCTTCCCAGCCAGGGTTGGGTGGTTATAGGCTTACAGTTTCTATCTTATAGAATATCACAGACTAAAGTTAGGAGAATATAATTTGCATTGCTAGAATCCTTGCAAGACAGCGAATAATTTGAATATAAGCGTCATATATTTTGCACAAGATGATAAAAATTTTAGCCCTTTGTAATAAAATTAGTTAAAACTAAAATTTGTATGTGTAATGCGAACTATAGCATGTATATATTCAAACTAATCACTATCTTATAAGAATTCCAGCAATGCTAATTATATTCTCCCAGGTCAGTTTAGTGACATTTTATAAGAGAAAAACTTAAGTCACTCTTAAGGACAGATAAATAAATAAGCACTAGACCTTGGCATCAACTGTCAAACATAACACCTCACCTCCTTCCCCCCCCCCATCTTCCCTGCCAGTAAACAAACCATTTTGCATCCCTTAATTTTAACTGTGTTGATTTATGAGTGTTTCTTTTTACATAAAACTACAAAAAACAATGTTTTGTTTATTTTAGGAGATGGGCTGAGGTGCATCTGGGTAGACTGTCAGTCTTTTTAGTATTTTGTGTTTCTCTCAAGTACCAAACTAAATTATTCCATTAAAACAACACTTTGATTTAGTGCGAATTCAGTTTAAAGCGACCTCTCTTGGAATGTATCTCGCATTATATCGACGTTCTACTGTAT